CTCACCCTTTCTTGTGGGAAGGCAGCACTGTTTTTATGCTGGTTGTCTGCCTTACTGCTGTCACACCTCTGTACAGTCAGCAGTACGACTTCGCCCTCGGACCTTGCGTTTTTTGCTTATAGTCTTACTGTTCTTCAACCGATCTCTCTGGCATGGTAGAACCTTGAGAAACGATTGTTTCAGCCAGTATAGCTTGATTGGTTCATCAGGATAGGCAAGCTCGACCACCACGTTAAGGTAGCAACAACGGTCGAGTATTCATTAATAAAATCACTACAATCTCCATAAATTCACATTCTGATAAAAATAATATATAAATACATTCACTAGTATACAATTTTAAATTCATTGATCAACAATGAAATTTGAGTGAATATGATATCTATCTGTCAACTGGTTATTTCATAACTCAATACGAACGAATGTCATACTGAATCGATCCGTAACTCGTCATGGTAACTGAGTTACTGATATGATATTAATACGAGACCATTATTTAATAATAAAGTAGTCCACAATCAGATCAGAAATTTATTTTAAATGTAAACACAATCTGGTAATAAATTTAGTTTCAAGTTTGAAACCGAGTTTTTGTCCTGAAAATGTTTACTGAAATTGTATTTAAAACATGAAAAAAATGTTAACTTCATTATTATCAATTAAAAATTATAAATAACTAATGATTCTGAATGAAAAATTTGAATTCATCATTTGTTATTACTTTATTCTATTGACTATGAATTCATCATACTTTATTCTATGTATTTAGTTTTACGAATGATAGTTGTTGTTCTCTTTTGATCTATTTCTAAATGTTCCGATGTGTAAAATAAATACATCATTCTAAATAAAAGTAATACATTAACATTTTGAATCAAATTCAAAATGCTGAATGTAAAACGATATATTTATTCAAAGAATCATCTCACAAATCACCTAATATAAACATTTAACGCCACCGCCCAATTCATAATTTATTGCAAATTCGTGAAATAAGCCCAAATTTGAGTACTTGACTCATAACGATATTATTCATTCATAAAAAGTTTCCTTAGTACTACTACATGGGTGCCTAATTTGAACTAATTGAAGCAGGATTTTGTAGCTTTTTACTTATTGTTTAAAGGTTGAGTGATTTAAAGCATCATACTCAAACCTTCTATAGTTTGGTGATAAAAAAGCCATACCAAGTACAATGTGATGTATAATATGCTGGTCTCTTATGAACAAGGGAACAAGTTTATCATAATATGCTGATGAGGCAACAAATAATATAGGCTTATATCGATGCATTCGGTATATACAATGTTAAAAGATTTTTGATAGAACTTATTAAAGAACATTCACAAGCTTTAAATAAAAGTGATGGTGTGGAATACTACTGTTGGTGGATAGGCTTAACGGAATGAGTAATAGTTACTTATATGGAAGAAGTATATTTTAACTTTAATCAGAAATCTTATCCATATAAAGGTCAGTAGATTCTTTGAATTATTTAACATGTATCAGTAAATGTATCTAAATTTACTGTCAGTGAAAACGCGAAAAAATTCATTGACCCAGTAGGGAAAATGAAATAGTTCTTGTTGATTTTTGGAAGTGTATGAAAAATTTCGCTTTCCATATATTTAAATTCTAACTTTGTTCGTATGTGAATCTTTATATGGCAGCCATCTTGTTGCTTTACGTCTTCTGAATCAGTATTTTTTTCACAGCAATGAAGCATCTACGTTTGTGAATATTCTAGGTCCTGAATTAATCTTGTGTGATCATGGATTGGCAAGTTTACTAAACTGACTCAGCTTTACTCAAAGTCATTTACCTATTGATTAGCTGAATGGTAGTTAGATGAAATATAACATGTTCTCCACGTGGCTTGAAAGTCCTATGTTAGACCTCAATAGAGTTGTGGGTGCACATTTTCAGAGTCTCACACTAGAATGAAATAGGTGCCCAATGCTTCTGTTTTCACTGATTATCTAACTAAGATCAATTTCTCATATGGTGGCTTTTTTAAATAAAGGGTTTCAAACCTTTCAGGATATAAATGTTTACCAAATCTGTGGAACTGTATTCGTAATGAGCGTCATTATTCATGAATTCCGTGTTCATGACACTGTCTTGATTAGATTCAAACGTCTAAGATTGAAACTATGCTGTACTATTAGTATTGTTCCATAGTATTGTCAATGCGTTTACTATTCAGAAGATTTCGGTTACAACTTTAGACATTCTATAGAAACTAGTTATCATCTAAATACTAAATGGAATAACTTTATGGCGACATTCTTTCATTTTACCAGTTATGTAAAAGAAAATAATTTAGTGTTTTATGCTCAGGATAAAATAGCGTGAATCGATTTAATAATGCTGTCATGTGACGCTTAATAGTTCGAGTCCAAAAACTATAAGTAGTTAGTGGAAACTAAAAAGAGTTATTTTAAGAAATGGTTACCAATATCACATCAATAATCGTGTAGCACACCTTCAGGCTATCACGTGTACTTTTAAAATGATGTTTCAATAAAGTCATAACAATACTGCATTATTATTGCTATCTTTATTGGGAAAAGGTTTTATTATCAGTTTGTTTTTTAACAAGCCATTTTGTTGATTTTTTTCCATCATATGCTAGGAAACTGTAATCACTCATTTTTTCGTATGTGTTTGACTAACATTCATTTTATAGAAGTAGGTGTAAAAAAGCACTTTTATCTCATATTATTATCCCTTTGTTTTATTTTCTACAGGCCTAGATACATTTGTCTTATGATCATTATTTATGTATTCTGTTCGTAAATATAGAAAAATATTCTATCACTAGCTAGCTACAAATCTTTAAATGTGTTTTTCTTATTGTATTCTGTTTAGTTTCAGCTAAATTGATATTTACATATATAAATTATGTTGCGTTTATGAGAATGGTAATTTTATTGATTAGTTCCTTAACCAAGTGTTTGATTTGTTTTTGTCTTGTAGAATCTCATCATGTAAATTGATTGATGGATACCATGTACTTTACATAATTTTAAAAGTGTTTTTAACTTGGAGAATATATTAATCCATTTAATCATCTGTATGTAATTTCATAAACTGGAATTTTGTCACTCAAAAGAAATGAAATGGAGCACTATGAAGTCACATACATAATTGTCCTAGTGTGGGACTCCTCAACAGTGCACATCCACGATCACACACACGCAACTCGGACCCAGGACCTCCGGTCTTTCGTGCGAACGCTTAACTTCTAGCCCACTGAGCTGGCCGGCATCGAACAATACTAATGTCTAACTTCAGTCGATGCATGGTCTTGTGCAACCATTCATTGATTGTCTGAGGTGAATAACTGTGAGCCGTCCAGTACTTCCAGGTTTTCAATGGTGGTCTAACTTACATTGACTCGTGAATTCAATTGTTATAATACTACAATCTCCACAAATTTTCAAACTTTTTTAAACCTAATTAGTAGATTATCAATTTGAAGCAGTAATATTCCTCTACAGAACATTATCACTTAACAAATAGCTCAATCTTAATCTACTGCATTTAGTATAATGCAATATAGTGAACTGTTTTATAATGCACAGACCAAATTGCAACACTACGGACCATCGTCGAACAATCAGTGGAGTGGAACTCATCACTATACATCAACTTCGTTGATTATGAAAAGGCATTCGACAGTGTAGATAGGAGGACATTATGGAAACTTCTTCGACACTACGGAGTTCCTGAGAAGATTGTCAACATTATCCGGAACTCATACGACGGACTACAGTGCAAAGTAGTGTATGGAGGACAGCTGACAGATGCATTTCAAGTAAGGACCGGAGTCAGACAAGGCTGTTTACTCTCTCCCTTCCTCTTTCTTCTGGTGGTCGACTGGATTATGAAGACCTCAATATCTGAAGGAAAACACGGCATACAATGGACAACTCAGAATCAATTAGACGATTTGGACTTCGCAGATGACCTAGCCCTCCTATCACGTACACACGAACAGATGCAGATGAAGACAGCCAGTGTAGCAGCAGTCTCTGCATCAGTAGGCCTCAGCATACACAAAGGGAAAACCAAGGTCCTCAAATTCAAGGCGGAGAACAGCAATCCAATCACTCTTGATGGCGAAACTATGGAAGATGTAGAGTCCTTCACATACCTAGGAAGCATCGTCGATGAACAAGGAGGTTCAGATGCAGACGTAAAGGCGAGGATCGGCAAAGCAAGAGTCGCATTCCTACAATTGAAGAACATATGGAACTCAAAACAACTTTCAACCAATATCAAAGTGAGAATCTTCAATACGAACGTCAAGGCAGTTCTACTGTATAGAGCTGAAACTTGAAGAACTACAACAACCACCATCAAGAAAGTACAAGTATTTATAAATAGCTGCCTACGCAAGATACTCAACATCCACTGGCCGGATACCATCAGCAATAGCCTACTGTGGGAGAGAACAAACCAACTTCCAGCTGAAGAAGAAATTAGGAAAAGACGATGGAAATGGATAGGGCATACATTACGCAAATCGTCAAACTGCATCACGAGGCAAGCCCTAACTTGGAATCCTGAAGGGAAGCGAAAAAGAGGAAGGCCAAAGAACACATTGCGTCGGATAATAGAAGCAGATATGAAAAGGATGAATTACAACTGGACGGAGCTGGAAAGGATTGTCCAGGACAGGGTTGGATGGAGAATGCTGGTGAGTGGCCTATGCTCCTTCACGAGGAGTAACAGGCGTAAGTAAGTAAGTAAGTAAGTAAGTAAGTAAGTAAGTAAGTAAGTAAGTAAGTAAGTGGTTTCGAAAAAATATACAAGCTTTGAAGTCAATAGATATAAACCTAGTATTAAAGTATTTGGAATTTCTAACAAAATCTAGATATTCGTATCTGTCTGTTATGTATGTGTAAATTGAAGAAATCATATTTTCATTTTGAATCAATTTCACGATTTCAGTTTTCTTATCTACCATTTGTTTACAACTTTTTTTCATATAGACTGAATCTGGTCGAATAGTCTTCCAATTTTGGCTTAGTTTATTCTTCTACGACTTGGCTGTCTACCTCACACCCAATTGGCTTACGCATGACATTAAATGTCCTTCAGTTGGTACAGTAGATGTTAAGGATAATAAATCCTCTTTGTTATCACAATCGACCACACCTAGTTCAGAAAATCGTCATCAGAATACTTTCAAATCAGATTTATCTTTAAATCATTTGTTCGGTGAACTGTCAGCTCCTGAAACGTTGGCAGAAATTGAAGAAATTAGAAAATTATCGTATACACTAGCTGACCAAATAATTGATCAATTAATTAAAACGACATATCATGTAAGTTGAAGTTAACTGTTTAGTGTTTTTCGTTTTCAGTTAATTTTTTCTTAATTAACTGGGTTTTTAAAAAAAGTATGAATGAAACGTATCCATTGGTAATTAACTTAACGGACAACTGAGGTATTGAAAAATGGATGTTTCGGCAGTATTTTTGTTTTTAATGACAATATACTTGTTAGAAAACTTTCAACTGTATTGCGGATGTATATTTCAATACAGACGCATGAGAAGATTTAGTTTGCATATACTTCATGAATAATAATACAGTAGAGATTATCTCTGGAAGACCGAGTAACAAGAGACGGTTGGTTCATCTTTATTCTTGAAAACTAATTTATATATTTTCAATTAGATCTTTACTTCATGAGGTTTTCAGTAAGATCTAATAATTTAGAATGATATACTGTTATTTTAGTTACTTTATTAATCTGATGCTCAAACTATAATAGTTTGAATGGTAATGAGCAAATATTCTGCAATCAAGAATGTATAAATCAATTTAATAAAAAGTCAGCTATTTTGGAATCATTGTAAATTGTACGTGACAAATTGTTTAAATATAAGGAAATATATAAAGGGTTATTACAGAAGGGTGCCATGAAATACATTGATCAAGAACAAAATGTACATGTTATGGAGAAATAGATGCAGTAAACCACGTATAAAGAAATAAGAAATACTAGACGATACAGTTGAGACAAAACACAATCTAGCCTGATTTCATTCAGTTAGAACATATGTTACCCGGTTTATAATAGAAATCCATCTCAAGACTGCGATTAACATCTTTTCTTAAACATTTTCATAAAAATTCCATACAGGTAAACTTAACTATTTCCTAGATATTATCCATAGAGTTAGGAAGAATAAGCAGATTTTAATTTGAAAAAGATGTTCAAATAATTCAGCATAGTAAATAATTCTTTCAGCCATCCCACTTAATAGAGCTGTATTCACGTTGATATAACAAACAGAGTAGTAGTCTGAATTCACCTGGTATTGTTTGGCTTGTATCTTTCCATTGAGGTTTAAGACTGCAATTGATCTAGTCTATTGAAACACATAAATAGAAATATACAATTTAAAGTGCAAAATAGGGCTACGTAACGATTGCAAAGTTGAAGAACAAATTACAAGATGAAACCAAATGAATGAAAAATAGACTACTATAATTGTTCAGCCATTATAAATACGATTGTACAGATTAAGAAAATGACATCTATAAAAAGAATATTTTCTGCGTTGAATTATCATTAATTCTTTTTTAATGACACAATGAATTGCATTTATTATTTAAAGATTTTAATTTTTTGGATTTATTCTTCATTTTACTGACTATCTCTGCACCTTTCTTACGTAGTCTCCACGTCTGTAGATGATGTGAAATACGTGAATGCTGTTTTAAAACTATCGAAAATTGTATTTCACTGTATTTCACTGTATCTGAAATACTTTTCATTCGATTGGTTCCTCATCTGAAGGTCACTCAATTTCAACAGATTGTGTACATTTTTTGACCGTTTAGAAAAAATATTACTAATTATATTTTTATGAGGTCAGTGTTGAAACTAGTAAAGTTTAATTTTTAAGATTATAATTGATTTTCTTTTCTGATTTTAGGCGCCTTAATAGTTCTACATTAATAGTTACTCCAAAAACACACATACATACGTTAATACCAAGTTTAATACATTTCATTATAAAAGAATTGAACAGTACTTCCAAGTAGTTAATATAGCAGTTAAATTTGAGAGTACGTAAAACATACAAGTTGATTCAGTAATTCTTTAGTGTTTCATTCACCGTTAATTTATAATTTGGACAATATACTGAGTCCAGTTCATGTTTGATTTAAAGTAACTGTAAAATTTATTCAACCCGTATGTTGGTCGAAAGTGAAAAAATAATTTTATCTCAGTTAGATCTTTTAGTCTTTTGGCAGTTGAAACAATATCAATGGGTCCTTTTAGGATTTATGGAAAAAAACAAGTTTTTATCATACTTCCCCAAATCAGTACGAACATATATATATATATATACATATAATATTCATTCGAGTCAATGAGGAAACCTGTAAGCCTGACCCGAATCATCCTCAAAGGGATTAGCGTTTGAAAAATCAATTTGTTTAGACAGCTTACTTTGACCACGCCTAGCTCTTAATTGATTTTCAGGTATACAGACATAATAATAGTCCTGAAAAAAGTGTTTTATGTAATTTGATAATGACGGAAAGAAATACACAAAGTATACACGTTAGTTCGGTTGGTCACAGTCTAGTTTCCCATACTCCTATACTTAAGTTTATCATTCTGTTCTCTTTATCAATTCTGTCTTTAATGTTGAATCCTTCTATTTTTTATTGTATTATTTCATCATTTTTTTGGTTGAAATCATGAATCAATTGATGTTAGACCACCGTTGGAAACCTGGAAGCACTGGACGGCCGTTTCGTCCTAGTATGGGATCCCGCGGGGTGCGGGACCGTGGATGCGCACTGCTGAGGAGTCCCATACTAGGACGAAACGGCCGTCCAGTGCTTCCAGGTTTTCAACGGTGGTCTAACATCAATTGATTCATGATTTCAACCAAAAACTTAACAATCTCCACAACCCCCATACTGATATTTCATTATTGTTATTTCGGGTAAAGATGAGCTTAATTAAAATACAAACTATTGTTTAGTCAAACAGTCTTCCTTATTTACCCATTTTACTTTAATTCTACACTTAAGTATGTGTATGGTAAAAAAAAATGCATATGGTGTGAAATAGTATTAATAATTATCAACAATTATACTGACTTAAATAATTATATTTTTCTAGACGGATTGACTAACAGATTAGCCTAGTACAACAGTATCACTTGTAACTAGAATTTACTAGATATAATATGTTTGGGTAACATTTATAAATATTTATTTCATTATTCTGTTTACATCACTCTGTAAAGGAAACTCTCTGGGAATAAACGATAATAATAAATGTGTTGACGGTTGTGAAACTTTTATTATTCCGTCACTTTAAATATAACTCAAAACAGATTATTGATACGTATTCACTAAACATGATTCTAGTATCATACATTTTGATAGCTTATTTGGAAGCAAAGTGAAATTCTTGTTCATTAGTACTGACCGTATTAAATTTCGGTTTGATTTTAATAATCTCCATAGTTGATTAGTCTTACAACTCTATTTAAAAATAACTGACTTTCCATGAATGTTACTCAGTACATGAATTCTGGAAACTGGATGACGTGGTTTAAGTAAACTTCCATTTATGTGATGGCTACCAAACTTGATCCCTATCAGATATTCTTTACGTTTCCATCTTTCCCATAAACGTAATCCTGTTGACTTTCCATCAGTCCTATGACTTGTGAATTCTGTAATTAACTTATACAGAATGAAGTATAATATTAGTTACAATATAAATATCAATGTGTTCCCTCTTGAAGTTTGTACTAATTATGCTATCCTGGAGGAAAATGGGATTTTTACTATGAAACGACTAAACTAAGCAAACGCATCATCTACAAAATACGTTTATCATATTTGGCAAAACTACAAATCACCCAGAGATTGTAGTATTTATGTTATTCCATACTAACTGCACACATTAAACTGACTCATATTTCAGAAATATCACATTGCAAATAATATATATGTAATCGCATGGTTTGTTTACTCATTTAAAAAGGTCACGTTTACTTGAATACCACATGTAGTACTGAGATAGTGATAAAGAACTTTGTACAATTAAACTGGAATATAAATCAAAAATTAAGTGAATTATTTAGATGTGTTACTATCTTGTGAAATTTAAAGAGCAAGAAACAAGAATTTTCAATCAATAAATACAGATATGAGATTAAATAAAACTAATACATAACTACTACAATCTCCACAAAACCCTTTCTTATAATAATACATAATGATTGCAAACTTTGTTTGAGATAATATTCAACTACGAAAATATCAAACAAACTGTTTAAGTCAAAGTATAATCGCTCAATATTTACAAATGATGCATAATAATATTTAAAATAAACTTATATAGGTTTATTTTTACTATTCTTAATTAATTTAGATAGTTCTAGTCCTCATTAAAAGAAAACTTCTAGTTGAATTCATTTCAGTGATTGGAATCTGAATAATTTTAACTTTACACCGGGTAATTTGATTAGAGGTTCATTGAGTAAATAATCGAGATCAAAATTTACAAAGTTAAATGTGTTTTGTATAATTTGTTTAAATTTTCTCAGCGATGTTTAGGACTTCAATTGATCAGTCTTTTATTGGTATATGCGTATTCTGTGCAGATTGTCTCGATATTGCCTTAAGTCACAAGCATGATAAGCAAAGATGGATGGTGGGTAGCAGTGGAATCCAGGATGAGCATTTAGTCCTATTTGGAACTTGTCAGCTGGATGTACCTGCATTCCAGAGTTGATGTTCACTTCGGGACTCCAACCCAGTGCCGTTCGCTTTAAGCTCCATCGCGTTATGAGTGTGGTCAAAATTAATTCTTTAATAAATGCTTGTGCATTCATATTAAAATTTTATATTTGTTTGTGTTCCATTTTATGTGAAGTGTGTTCAGAATTAACTTATGTTGTCGCAGAAACTGTGCTTTATCCAAAATCATACCTGGGCACTAACTAGCATGCTTATCTAATGGCAAAAGATCATTCACTCACTACTTATATTCTTGAATATCTGGTCAAATTTGGTTAACTTTCTCCAAGAGAATCTTCATTAAAAGTTATTCATGAAGTTAGAAAAACTGGTTCTAAAGGAGGCTGGATAAGAAACTTAAGTATAACGGTCTAGGACTTCATTTTACGATGGTTCTGGCACTTTTTTTCTTATTTTGTAAGATTATGGCAACTCTCACATAATCGATTTCGATTATGGCTAGTTTTAGTTAAGCCTTTTTATTAACTTAATAGACAATGTTATCCGAACAATATTTCTTTACAGTATTATGATCACT